TAGTTACAGAAACACGAAATATAGTGAATCTACCTTTACCCTTCCAGTTCCACTACCAGATTCCGGCTCCACTTTGCGGTGCTTTAAGGGCCAATCTGTTCTTATCACCAGTCTAAAAATCGCACACGTGAAATATGCGCCCAGATTGCCTTGTAGATGTAAGGCTTGATGTCCGGAAACATCCGAAAGTACTTCTTTCAGAAGCGTCATCATTTTCATCCACCCGTTGGCCACGACTCAGTATTAGCTGTTGAGCGCACGCTACGCGACGTACGGAGGCTGCAACGCCTGGAGTCGAGGTTTTTTAAAACTAAGATTTGCGAGCACGCATGCTCAAAGTTATGTCACAACTTTATTACTAACCGATGCAAGCATTTGAAGGCAATTATTTCAGAACCGTTATCATTTTCGTCCACCGGTGAACCATGACAAAAAATTAACCACTGAGCTAGCGCTCCGCGGACAATGGTGACTGCAACGCGTGGTGCAGACGTTTTTGTTGCTTAGATTTGCGAGCGCGCATGTTAAAAACCACGTTACATAAAATGTGTCACTACTGGATTCTGAATGAATATTAAACATTTCCAGACAAACATGGCTTGGCGATGTTAATACACACTGTTGACGACTCAATCTACAATCAAAATTTTCACCCTCAAATTTAGATCCAACATATCGATCTGCAACCTACATTCGCCATGTCCTCAATGTCTGTAGAACGCAGATAAAACATGAAAAAGCTTCTGAATTATGTCGGTTTAGAAAGAGTCCACTAAGCCATTGCAAGTTAGGGACACCGGTGATTTATTCCATGCGGTCGTTAAACGCCCTGATTTTTGCAGTTAATTGACCTTTAACACGCACTCTGATGAGGGTTCAAACTGACTCGCACTCGGAAGGTTTTTCCAGAATGGTTTTCAAACGGCGCGGCACAGCCGCACCATGGTTTGCATAACTCTAGACAATTCAGAGTTGCCGACTTTGGGTGTAAAGCAACACCCTATGAGGAGAAATTTTTCACTCCTTTTCCCCACATTTTATGTGAATTTTTTACTCCTGCCTGACATTGTCTAATCGCACATGCCAAACCCCTATTTCCCTTTCTGAGGTTTTCAGATGTCATCCCAAACCGAGCTCACTTAAAACCACCAAGCATAAACGAGCTCCAGAACCTGGACACCTATGGCTATGTCCTGGCTCACCTACATCTGAATCATGTCTATGTATGCACAGAGCAAGGGCGCCAGGTACCTCCAAGCCCAAGAACCCCAGCGACCCAGCCGCTTGCACGCATTAAGTTGGGTTTGTTTACAAAATGCATCACAAAATGCAGCTGTGCGCCAACTACAAGGTATTCACGCATCCCTATTTTTTTAGTCTCACCACCACACCACGAAAGCAGAGCCTGGTGTAAACACCAGCAAGTACTGGTAGAGATTTTACTCCACGTTTTTCGTTTCCCCGAGGAAACTTGACCACTAAATTGCATCACTCCCCGAAATACGTGAGTGAAAAGTTCAAGAAATGTCTTCTAAATTTAACTTGCAAGATGAATATCACCGTTTGAGCACTTGTATTAACATATCTTAAGTCAAATCAGCTGATGCCAAAATTTTGTGAGAAAAGTACAAGTCTTTATATTTATTTAGCTACTTTTGCTTTTCTTGGTATCATACCAGTGTGATATCACTTTATTTTCCCTCTTTTTCGATGGTCTTTAGAGGTGCTATCTGCTGCTTAAAATTTAGCCAATTTCTCTGCAAGATGCTCCAACTGCAAACTTGTACGCGTTTCATACACAAATTGGATTAATTCGCCAGCCGCCCAAACATGTTTGATATGCACCCAAGCGTGAACAATTCACAGGAGTGAAGGAGACAATT